GTGTGTGTGTGTGTGTGTGTGTGTGTGTGTGTGTGTGTGTGTGTGCATGCGTACGTGTGGAGTAACACCACTTTCCAAGTCCCTCGAGATGCTTAGTTTTGCAGCAGTCCTTGAGAGATGGAAACTAGGAAGTGAACAAGAGAAAGAAAGAGGGGCCAGATGGGCCTACTCTGTGACGACAGGCATTCAGGCTGAAGAGAAGCAGTAGCAAAAGGGAAGAGTTGGTAGGAATAACTTGATAACATATGATAAACCACCTCTCCACCACTCATGTCTTTCCTCTTTCTTTTTCATCTGTAGGTTATCATTGCCTCTCTGTTTAAATCTGTCTGGACTGCAGAACATGGCAAACATGATGTACAGTAGTGGCATTTCAAAAACGTTTTGTTCCTTTTAGCTATCTACAGTCTGGGATCCAGACATGACGACCCCCAACACTGTTGAAGACATATTTTCCTTAATGAAAATACAAAGGTCATGTGATCTCTCTGCAGCAAGCCAAATTAAATCAGACATGAACGGGAACCAGAGAAATTTCATGATGCAGTTATGACCCAGCAGAAACTCATTCAGGGTCCAAATAACCATCATTCAGCAAAATGCCAACCTGTCATGGAAGCCCTGAACAACAAACGCAGAACCAAAGCCCCTGGAAAAATACTGACATCCACAGTGTGTGAGTCAAGCATGTTCAGGAAAATGTCAGCGACACTTTAGCAGGTATTAAACGCACAGTTACAACTGGACACGATATGAATGTATATGTCAGTGATTGCCCTCCACACAAAATTGTGTCTGCACAAACACAAGTGTTTAAAACATCAAATTTGTTCACATGCAAAAGCACTTTTAAATCAGTTGAAAGCGACCTTTCGGAAAAACTCACCTTGCATCTCTGTTTATGTGCATGTGTTTGTTCCTCATGTCTGGGTTTTCCCCCATTTAGCTCCCACGTTCACCTCCTCGCATTTATTCCATGCCTCTCCTGTCTGTCATGTGCGTTCTCCCCAGCCCGTCTTGTCCTCTGTATGTGCTCCATAGTAAATGTCCACATCTCATCTCCCACTGTCAATTCCCTGTTCCCTTGTTAAGTCAGAGTGTCTTAGTCCGCCTTTTTTCCTGTTTTATTTTGACAGTCACGTGGTCTATGTTAAGCGTGTTTAGTGTGTCCCTCCCGTGTTTTCAGGGTTTCTCTAATGCTCAGATTTCTCTAATGTCTTTCCCCCAGTTCAGGCGTTCCTCTGTTTAGTTTGTTTTTTATGTTTCTCCCCGTTGGGTATGTCTGCCTTAATAAACGGCACGCTTCAGTTAATTCCTGTTTTCATTTTTTGTGGTCTGCATTTGGGTCCTCACAAAAAAACACACGCCTCGCATGTCAACTGCATTGTTACTTCTTTTACATAAGTTCTTCAGTTATCTGTATGATTTTTTAAACATTTCTTTGCATTGGCTTATACTCATCACATTGAGGATACTGATGAAGAGAAGAGTGATCTCCAACTGTAAAGTGATCCTCAAGCTGAGTGTATTTCAGCACCATGCAAGAAACAAAAGCTTGATTTCCAGCAGGTGACAAAAGCAGAGGTAACAGGGTTTCGGGATGCACGGGGTTTCTATAGAAGCAACGCTGTTGCCACAGTATTATGTAGTATGTATTAAGTATTATGTGTTTTTTACCAACTAACAGTACATGAAGTGAAAGAGCTTGTGTTCTCATTAGGAAGAGGACTTTTACTGCTATGTAGGCACATATATAGTTTAATAATATACATTTAACTGGCAATCACATGGGTGAAACTGCATCTCAGACAGTGCAAATTAGCCCAAAAGTAATGGAGCAATGCCCCAGTGCAAGTAATTACTTTCTATAAGTAATGTATTGAATTAGAATAACAATATTTTAAAATACTGTAATGTAAAATATTACTTTTTGGAGGATAAATGACACCAGTGCTACTCATAAGCAGTGAAATGCATTCCCAGTCAGTGTGACACTATAATGTGGGTCAATTCAAAATGGCTAGAAGCCCAAAATGGGCAGTGATGAGTTTTAAGGAGCAAAACTAATAAAGATTTCATATTTTAGGCACCCTTTAGAGACCATATTAACCTAGTTTTTGTTGTTAGGTTTGAGGCCTACTTGTGGGTATTGCCTAGAAAGAAACTGTAATTTAGGTTGGCTCTATCTAGACATATCTATGACACTAAAACGGTAAACTGGTAAACCCTTTGCTGACTACCAATTCAACAGGGAGATAAATGATTGTACTGATTAACCAAATAACTGACAGGAGGAAACAAGGCCTTTCCCTTGACTCCATCCTCACCATGCTGGATGATCCCATGTTCAAGAAGCCTCCGCCCCAGCTGTTCAGCCTCCTCCCTGGTTGGCATCTCCCCCTCCTGCAGCAGCCAATCGATGAACTCTGAGGCTACCAGCGTCCGCTCAAACGACTTGCCTTCCTCCTCTCTGGTTTGCAGTAGGTTGTTCTCTGTGTTCATTAATCTATGGAGAAAATTAGAGCGAACAGAGTAATGAAGTTGAGACCGAGGGAAAGGAGTGATAGTGGGGTGCTGCAGAGATGAAACGGCACATTTGGTGCACGTGGTGCACCTGGCACCGACAAATTTATTTAAAGTTACAGTGATTTTACATAAAAGTCTCACCTAGCTGTTGGAAAATAAAGTAAGGTTTTATGGAAGCTACGAGCCTTTGGTTGAGTGAAAAGTAAACTTTCTTCAGAGGTAGTTCCCTGTGGAGAAAACCTTATAAACCAGCAACTCTGGTCATTCCTTCACTCTCTAATCTTCACTTTCAAAATGCACAAAGCCTGTGCTGTAGCTGTCTCCAGATTAGCACATGAGCAGTGTGCATAAATTCAAGCCATTCCTTAAACCTCATATATCAAACCTACACGATTACAAAGTAAGTACACTGAGGCAAACCTTCTGGATAAGCTTCACTGATAAATGGAGGGTTGTTTTTTGGAATCAGCCGAGTTGGATGTAAAGGCACAAGATTTAATATAGTTTCCACAAAAACACAAAAAACAAAGCAAGGATTGCATTAAACAGGTGTTGTAGTCTGTTCTGAGTGGCACCCGGTGACAGACTCAAACAAAAACAGGCATGTGCGCGCCTGTAAGGAGCAGAACTGTCGACTCGTTCGCTATCCCACTTTCTCAAAACCACATTGACACCTGTCACTCACACGCAAGCACTCACCAGCCTATACACTTAAGCAATGCCATCAAAGAGCTGTGCAAGTTACAGAGGGCTTGCTGCCATCTGCATGTCAAAACATATGCTTAAAATGAAATACAGCCTCAAAGATGTATTTTCTACGCTGTTGGTCCTGTTCTGCTGGCACAAAACGTATTCCCACATTCAGTTTTAGTGGCTTATCAATCATTCACTGAGCGGTTAATATCACAGCCTGGACTGTGTGTTACACACAGATATCATGCATGAATGAATCAGCAGTTTGGAGATTTGTATAAATAATCATAATATTCAAAGAACTTATTCAAAGAAGTAATAATTTCAACATCAGATGCATCCAAAAGCTTTGGGTGATTTGGCTCCAGAATCAGCCACTAACTTAACATTTGATCCAAGCAGGACAGAAGAACTAGTGATGGGATAATCTTTAAAGCTATATTAATTTAACTATGGAGGAGACAGTTTCTGTAAGTCCCTACCGGATCAGCGATTCAGTGATGAGATTAAACCCGAATCTGGAGATGACAGACATATTAAAGAGAGCTCCTCTGGGCTTTTTTTTCTTTTTTTTTGTAGAGTTAGAAGAGAAGATGCCACTCCCATGTCTGTGTAGTAACTATTAACTATTTCCAAAGAAACCATCAGATTAGTTTGGCTTAACCAAAGCCAAAAAGCTGTTCAAACCTCTACAGACAAGTGTGCAACTATACTCAGCCAGGAAATTGGCAACATAACCCAAATGCAAAAAGGCACTGGTATAATATGTAAGTTAATGAGCTTTAAACCTACTGACAGGTTAACTGTGTCTCTGTTTCTTGCCTTTATTCTAAGCTAGGCTATGCACTCTATTGCTATCATTGGAGAGTGGCTTTCTCATCTAATTCTCAGAGAAGAGCAACTATGCCAATACATTTCCTGCCATGCATTTATTTGTTCGCTTTTTGTATAGGCAATCCACAGTATATCATTAATCAGTATATGTAGTAAGCAAGTTTTACCTGGCACAGACAAACCTCCTACTCTTTCAACATCTCGATGGAGACAAATTAATATTTGATTGGAAAGCTTTAGCGACAAAACCATTAGTCTCCTGACAGAACAGGTTCTGTGCTAAGTAACACAAATAGAGAGACTAATGAAAGTAAATGGAAAACTAAATGAAATCCAACTCAGCTGCAGGATGTGAAAAGCCGCCTCTATAAAAAAAAGCACATTCATGCTCTCACTGTGGTTCATTAAACTTTGACTGACATCCACAGAAAACCGAAACTAGTCAAGAGAAGAACTATGACGTCACTGAGTTGCTCACAGGGACATAGTGTTATCCTCAAATTTCAACCTTTGGGTTGAGTGAAATATAGAACAAGTGCAAGCCCAGTGTTGCTCAAGTCTTTAGTCATTTAAGGTCACTGGCTGGTTTAGATGCAGAATTTTGAAGGATTGGTGGCTTTACTGGAATAAACTGCTATGGCTCACATTAGCAGCAACATGCTGTTAAAACAAATGGACACAATGTTCCACAAGATCTGTTTACACAATGCAATTTAATCCATTTTAACAGGTAAAGTCAACAGATCGCGTTATGCTAGCTCCAAGGGACAGGCTCAGTGAAGTGAACTCTGAACTTTGAATATGAGTAACCACTTAAGTAATAGAAAGGACTGTGACGCTTTGCATACACATATAAATGGATCATGGAAGCATTAAGTGGAACAAGAGGAGTTGCCACGACCCTGATATGAACTCAGAGTGTCTGTTCAGTCCGTTTACCTAACTCCGAGTGACAAACACTGAGACTTGGCATTTCCCTGCTTTTAAATTTAGTCTTTCATATGGGTGGGGTAGTGATGACTCTATGGCCAAAGAATAGCTTTTAAAGGATGCAACACTAATGGTTATGTAAGATGGGCATGGTGAAGTGGTTTGCACTTCTGTCTCCCACAAGAACCTAACTGGTTTGAATGTATCTTTGTGTGACGGGCATCCTCCTGAAGTCCAAAGGCGTGCTGATTACTGGCCTTCTAAACTGGCTGTAGGTGCAAACAAGAGAGTCAGTGGTGGTCTGCACCTATGATGGGCCGATGACCTGTCCAAGGTTTAGCTCTTGTTAGGGTTTCTAAGAGAAATATAAAGAGAGAATATCTTGTTCTTGTACTTTTAGATTTAACAGCAGCATTTGACATAACTGATCACAGTATTTTGATTGGCAGGTTAAGGTCTTAAGTGAGCATCTCTGGATCATCTCTAGAACGGTTTTCTTCTTACCTCAGATTTTTGACATGTTTATGTTCTCCTCTACCACTTTGTCATGTGGTGTAAACCCAAGGTGCAGCTCTGTTTGCACTACAACCACTTAAGACACATCTTGCGTCTCATATAATTGTTATGCAGATGATATCCAGTTGAATACTTCTTTCTCTCTAACAAATGTTGCAAAAATATCTGTCATTCAAGACTGTATTGATGCTATAAATAACTGGGTGGCAGCTAAGTGTCTTTCACCTACACTGGGAAGACTGGTTCTCTTTTGTGTTCCTGACAGCTTTGTTCCCATTGTGATCAACAACCTTGTGTATTTATGAATAAAATGACTGAACCTATGGTGAACATTTGATGATGTACATTTGACTAGGCTCTTCATTTTGATAAACATTAATAGCCTTGTGTGTGACTGCCTCAGTCGAATGGTGTCTAAATCAGAATTAGAAATGATTATTCATGGCTCTGTTTCCTCACAATTGGACTATTTTAGTATACTGGCCTCAGTAAGTCATCTTTGAATCACCTACAGATGGTCCAAAATGTGGCTGTGAGGGTACTTAGTAGGTCCTCTAGGTTGTCTCATTTGAAACCAGTTTGAGATTTAGGTGATCACGTTCAGAGCTTTGGATGGTCAAATGCCTGCTTACATTACCAAACTCTTTCTCCCAAATATAAGGTGCAGGTCCCTGAGGTCTTCTGACCAAAACCTGTTGGTGGTTCCTTGTTACAGACTGAAAACTAAAAGAGACTGTGCATTCGAGGTTGCAACTTCTAAACTATGAATGCTCTTCCACTGAGATTTGTGGACTCAACTTTCAAAGAGCAGCTCAAGACTTAATTTGTATAGACTTGCTTTTAACTAGTGGATATTGCTGTAGTTTATTATTAGTTTTGTTTTGTTTTTATTTCCTCTTTTTGTGAAGCACTTTGTGATCCTTATCTTGAAAGGTGCTATGAATTATTTTACTTACTTTACCCACCTGCCATCTTATCATGAGTCACACTATCACAGAATATGAATGGGATTGCAGCAGTGAGGTGTGGTTTTTGGCTGAGCTGCAGGATACCAGGTGGGGCAGATTAATCCAGGGAGCAGTGCCAGGTGGAATGATTGGCTCACCTGCTATAAGTTGCTGATCAACTTCTCTCTTTTATGTATTAGCGTGCAAGGGCTGAATGGGGCGGATGCACTTTTCTCCACTGGGCATGCTCACATAAGTGGACCTTGTGGAGTTCTGAGTTTATGCAGTTGTGGCTACTTACAGCTTAATAAACTAAATGCATGCACTTCCTTTACACAGACTGTGTAGCAAACACATTATGTGAACGACACCCTGCAGTGCCAAAAAAGGCTCTTAAATGAAGGATTAGTTTAACACCTTTACTATGACATAAGTTCACTTTTGCAATGCTGTACTCCAATCTTTTTTTTTTTTTGCCTTCATCCTAAAAAGTTTGATTCCTTTTTTGATGAATCTTCCTCTTTTAATCACTTATTATTACGACTTCCTACTGAAACAAAACAAGATTTTCCACCACTGGAAATGTCACATCTCCTCGCAAACATAAAGCAGTGACCACACTCACAGCTATAACTTGTTATGTTAAGGAATTAAAGGTTGTGTGTATCTGACAGGGAAAAAAAACAAAATATAGGTTAAGCATGATGGATGTCTGGAATGCGGAAAAATGGTCACCAATAACGGAAAGTATATACAATTTGCAGCTGAAGTAGAAAACATGTAAAACCACCAGTACACTGAGTGAGCGCTGTGGTTCCTTGAGGCTGACCAGGCTCAGACTGAAGGGCGGCCTTGGGAATGAAAAGCAGTCTCTGCTTTTGAAACTGGTGTGTTTTATAGACTTGACAAGTCCTGTGAAATCAACAAACATCCCTGCCTGCCCTTATCTCACTGTCTGTACGCACTGATGTGGCAAACGTTGATAAAAAATATGAAAAAACTCCTGCATGAATGTGGGGAATGACAACAGCAGCGCACAGACAAGAGATTGTATCTTACATCTTGTAATGTACCTAGATTAAATCTCAAATGCTGGCTAAGGTGATCTGCATCAAAGCTGTGCAAATGAAATAATTTCTGTAAAATTTTCATGTTGGCACAGCGTCCTTCCACAGTTCAAAGACATGCATTAGGTTAGGGTTTCCACATTCAAAACTGCGTCTCTCTGCGTTAGCTCGACAGACCTTTATCCTGCCCAGAGTGTACCCTGTCTTTCACCCTTTGACAGCCTGAATAGGCTCCAGCCCCCTATGACACCAAACAGCTGTTGTGTGTGCACCAATGGGTAGAAAACCCACCATCCGTCACCAAAGAACATAACTCACAGGTGCTCCAGTGAGGCTACCAGAAACTACTGCAGGTGTGAATGTATGTGAGGATAGAGCAGTGTTAGGCTAATCTCAAAAAGGCTCAAATTAAGCATGTAGGTGCATTCTATATATATTTGACCTGTTGCCAAAGGCAGCTCGAGATTAAACCGCCAACCCTGAAAACAGTGGGCAGCCTGCTCTACCACCTGAGCCACTTGAATTCAGCTACTCAAAGGTAATTTATTATATCAGAGATCTACATGAGCATGATTATCCTCTGAAACTCTGGGCTCCAAAACTGTGCGGTTTGGGTGCTTCAGATGAGACACTCATCATAAAATATTTTACTGTAATTAATCAAAATTGCACGTGACAGAATAAACAGTTTTTGTCAAACAACGAGTCACTAACACTGATGTTTTTGAACCTAAACATTTCAGCTGCAACTCTGGATGGTACTTTGACCCTGAACAGGGGTCTCTAAGGTGGAAGAGGTTAAATTCTGTAGAAATTCGGGCATAATCAACAAGAGTGCAAATGCACACACACACACGCACAAACAGCTACATGATAAACAACGTTTTAAAGTGTCCCCTCTGTCGCTTAGGAACTTCTGTCAAAATAACTTCTTGTGGTTTGTTTGCAGTATGTTGTTTATGTTGTTTTGACAGTTGATGGTATCACAGATCAATTAACGTGTGACAAGAACTGTTTATTTTCCAGTAGAAGAAAAAATAGACGTGAAACTGGCTGAAGGAAAAAACACAAAGCTATTTTAATGTACAGAACCGTGCAAAAGTCTTGAGCCAAACCATTTTTATATATGTTGCTGGAAAAATTAGAAATAGGTGCAGTGATTTCTAGATGTTGGCTGCCTTTTGTTCTGTTCTCTATTAAGATGATCCCACACTGCTTCAATAATGTTGAGGTCTGGGCACTGAGGAGGCCTATGGATGTCTCATGGTGTTTCATTGTCTTTTTATCTATCCAGGTATGCTTTTACTGTATTGGCATTGGTGTTTGGGATCATTGTCATGCTGAAATATGACGCTTTTGCAAATTTAGACACTTTCCAGTTTGTATTGCATGGTGGAACACAATCTGACGGCACCTTTCTGAGTTTATCGTTCCATTGGTTTTGCCAAGATCTTCAACATCACCGGCTGAAATGCAACCCAAACCATGACAGAGCAAATTGTTGGAATAAAAACACTATTTTTTATCTGCCAAACTGTGTTCTCGTTGGCATTTTTATAGAAATAGGAGGATAACTGGCAGATAATAACAAAGTGCCTAAAGATACCATGTAAAATCAGCCTTTTGTTAAGTTTTCGGGTATGTGTAGACACACTGGTTCATCCCTTGAGTTAGGTGGTAGTTTTATGTTTGCATGATTCGTAGCTCAGTGGTTTGTGGTTTAACAGACAAAAACCATTACTAAGAAAATAGTCAGAGACAAGGACTGCACTGAAAATGAGTGAAAAAAATTAAAGCAGCATATAAGGGAATAAAGTGTGGCTCAAGACTTTTGTGTAGTATTCTGTTAGTAAAGCCTTCTTTTTCTTCTGTGATGAAATGTTGTCATGATCCTGGAGTTTTGACCGAACACTTTGGGTTTTGCACTAAATTCTTTATTACTTGATGCTCCTTTGGGCTCTTAGTTTGTTTATTCTGGACGTTTCTCTTCAGTCTGGGTTCAGTCTGGGGTTTGGGTTTCAGTTAGTGTTTTGCTTTCTTGTTTCTTCTCTAGTCTCATGTGTATTGTGTTTAGTTTTGCTTCCTCTTGTCCCATTGGTTAGATTCTCTTCACCTGCACTTGTATTTCCTACAGTATTGTGGACTTACTGTCACAACTAAAATAAATACCAAATTGAGTTAATTCTTCTCTGAGTCTGAATTCGGGTCCTCTTCTAACTCCATCCCACGACAGGTGTCTTCACTGAAAAAAAAGATTTATGCTAGAATGTCTTCCATCTTATTTTACTGTGCTAGCCTGGCAAACTATAAATAATGATGTTTCAACCATTTTTATATCCACTTATCAAACTTGTGGGAGCCTAACCCTGAGGCCATAAGGATGAAACATCCTGGGCACTATAGAGATGAGTCAAGAATTTTTTAATAAACGAATCAAAGTATTATATGGTACGATGTGGTGTATAGAAGCCTTATAATAAAACCACATTCCTGACAGCTTGATAACTTCTGCTGTGGTCGTTGGTTCTTGTGTGTCTTAAGTCTCATTCATTTCAGTTGTGTAGTGTTTACAAGTGAAGTGATTACCAGGAACTAAATCATAGATTGTTATGAAAACAGGAAGCGTAGGGACAACAACCTTCCCTCAGTGGGACATGAGTGCACTTTGCACTCAAGCACAAGAGACACAGAGATTTTTTTTGTCATAAGTGCAGCAGCGAAGCAATTCAACCACTAGGATAAGTGTGTGTGTGTGTGTGTGTGTGTGTGTGTGTGTGTGTGTGTGTGTGTGTGTGTGTGTGTGTGTCCTGGACTGCACCGCGGTGATTACATAAACACATAGCTTTGAGGGCTGAAACGACAGATGTCTCCCCTTGGAATATTTCTTTCTCTTATGCAATAACTGTGTATGTGTGTGCTTTCTCAGGAACACATAAGAAATAGGTCTCTGTTAATAACAGTGTGCCACTGTGTACAAATTAAAAGTGGCACAGGAAGACTACAGTGCATGAGTCCAAAAAAATAATGCCACATACACACGCGAGAGGCAGAAAGGAAGCGTTTGGTGGGTTTTTTATATTTATAAATTGTTAGTCTCCTATTTACTGGAAAAACAACACGGTTACAGAGCTGATCATGCTATTTGTGGCATCCCCCTTTAAACCCAAGTGCTCCTCTAAATAAAGCTATGACTCATCTCTATATCCTCTAATTTTCCTAACTTTGCAGGCTTTTATCACAAAAAACAGGCATGCTCAATGCAGTGTCCTCTAATCTAATTGAATCGAATTCAGCAGCAGGACAAATTTTCTAATTAATGGGGGTGGTATGTCAGATGCACTCAATCAGCATGCTGTGCAGAATGACATAGACTAACAAAGAGATACAGAGGACGACCGGAAATGTGTGGATGGAATGTGGCACAGCTTTCCAAGTAGCCATGAAGCTCCAAAAACTGAAACCACATATCAACATAAAGTCACAGTTCACCATTCATGCTATCAAATGCTTTCACAGCTACGGCCTTTAAAGATGACCTACTAGGTTCATTTCCAAGCCCAGACTAGATGCTTTGCATGATGTACAGCACAAAATATTCCTAATTTGTCTTGTTCTGAGCCTCGGTGCAGTCCCACAGTTTCTGGAAGGAAAAAAAACAAGTAATTTTGCTTCCCATGACCCTCCCTGTAAATCAGCTTTCTTCTGAACGGCTTCTCTTCACAAACAGGTTTGACAAGCAGCTAGTTTGAGCTGCTGTGCCTAAAATGAGCCACACAGATAATCATCATGTTGATCAGAGAATTCATTTGCGCCATGCTTAACATTATGCACCAGAGGTTTAACATTCTGGGAAATTTTTCATCTACCTAGGAGTCAAATCGGGAAATTGATGCTACTCTTGAGCTTGTTTTATAACTAAAGCTTGACCCAGAAGTCCATTTGCTTAGTGTTAAGGGCCAGATTTACTAACGTATGCACCAAACACAGTATTGTCTGTATTTACAAAAAGAGCACAGTGAAAAATTACGTGTAATCGTTGGGAACGGTTTCTCAATGCCAAAATATAGGGAGGGCAATATTTAAATCAAGTATGTAAACTGATTTACTAACGTTTGTGGCATGCAATTTGCTGCTGATAGTGACAATATGTATTAATGGGAAAAAAAATCATGTTTTGTTTTTAAATATGAATTTAACTGCATCTGTGTTTAGCAAACAGCAAACTTTGGTGACTTACCAGTTAAACTAACCACACCCATGAGCACTGTTTAGGGATGGCACACATTAAATGCTATTTTGTCCTGTTTAGTAAATCTGACTCTAACACTGGGAAAGGGTAAATGGCAAAATTAGCTCAATCAAGAATCTAGAAAATCATCCCTGAAGTTCACTGATCAGCTCACTCAGGTTCTGCTGGCTACAGAAAAACTTCACAACTGGGAAGCTAATTACTGAGAGCATATCTTGTCACCTTTACACAGAGACTTCCTGGTCTTTATGCAGATATGAGAACCTTCTTCTAATCTAGCACTTGGTGTGAAAGCAAATGTTTAAATGCAACACAGTATCCTTAATGCTACATTTTAAAAAAGGTAAAACAGAAAAGTTTATTTGTTCATACTTTTCATAGATCCTCTGGCCCCTCATAAACACCTTGGCTTCATTATCCAGCGGGAATGTGCCGTCATCCTTCCGGAAGCGGTAAAACAGCTTCATGTCTTTGAAGTCCCGGTGCTCGTCACACACTGAACGCAAAAAGAGGCAAAGAAAGTTAGATTAAAGGGCTAATCTGCAAAAACACTGCCACATTTTTGTTTACTCTCCCAACCAGCCGAGATGTGGTTTACATATTTGTCTGTCCAAACTCAGTTACTAGCTTAAACTTCATTTTTGGCAGACAGAAATGAGTATGTCAGAGGGATATCTCAGGCTGAGCAGTTTGGAGACAAACGGCCAAGATTCAGACAGCCTGGAAATGTACAAAGGAGGAATCGTGGATGGAGGAGTAGTAGTAATAAAAATGAATGCTCTGCCGTCCAGTAATACTGTCTATGTCATGGCGGTGGGTCTGTGACCCAGCATTTTGAGTTTATTTTGTATGTCTGATTTCTTATGATGTATTAGAGTAATGGTAAGTTCTGGTGTTTTTATTAGTATGCCTTAATTAGGTTTCGTTTAGCTAAAGTTTTTTCCATGCTCTGTTTCCTGTGTAAGTCTCTCCTCCTCTATGTATGATTTTAGTTATGTCTGTGCCTCGTTCCTCTTATCTGTTCCCATGTTCCTCTCCTTGCGTATAATAGTTAGTTTTGCTTCCCCTGTGGCGTCATGTTCTTGTGTCAGCTATGTTCTCCATGTGTTTCCGCTTCCCTCATTACCCTTCTGTGTATTTAAGTCCTTTATCATCCTTTGTTCAGTGTCAGGTTGCCTGTTGAGTTCTTGTCATGTTTTCAGTTTTTTTTCATGTTCATGTTTTTATCGTGTTCAAGGTTTTGTTGTCTGTCACCTGAACCTTTGCCTAAGTGTGCATCTACCTTTTGTTTAGTACCTTTTCCCAGCCACAAACAAACGGCTCGCTTTTTGTTTAATTATAGTTTCATTCCAAGTGTCTGCATTTGGGTCCTCTTCCTCCCTCCACACAGGCTGCCATTACAAACGGTGACATGTAAAATGCATACATGTAGCATGTATACATGTAGCATGTATAATGTAAAATGAATTGGTCCTAGCACAAAACCCTGTGGAACTCCATTGTTATTATTAACCTCCATTATTAACCTTAGTGTGTGAAGCTCCATTTACATTAACAAATTGGAGTCTATTACATATTGCTGTATAGTATCTATTCTATTTTATCTTACTCTATCCTACAAAGGATTTCCCACATGTGGCACTAATAACGCTTATCTTATCTTATCTTATCTTATCTTATCTTATCTTATCTTATCTTATCTTATGATTCAAACCACTGCAGCACAATACCTTGTAATACTTGTGGCACGCTCTAGTCACTGTAATAAATTATTGTGGTCATAAGTGTAGTACACTGCAATGAGGTTAAGCAGGACAACCACAGAGGTCATACAACTACTCTTTAAAGAACTTCTGAGACAAAATAAAGGTTGGTGATTGGCCTATAATTAGCTAAGAGAGCTGGGTCAAGTTACTCAAGACTCTAAATAAATGTTGGTAGTATTTCAAGTAGCTTTACGTAATGATACAAGACAATGATACATGTTGTCGATGAAACAGCTAGTCATGAAGAAAAGAGGACGATCACAGAAGATCCATGTAGGTATTGAAGGAGGTCATGCAGAGAGATGATGTGACAGAAGAGGATGCTAGGAATAGTGTGAAATGGAGGAAGATGATCCACAAAGGTGAACAGCCGAAAGAAGACCAAAGGTTCTTGCTACCAGTTCAGCAGCCGACCATGTCTGAATGATGTCCGTCATCATTTGGTGACTTATGATCAGCACTTATAACTTTCTAAGTTATACATTATAATATCATAGTGGCTCTTACCTTTTTTAATTTTCAAGTTACTTTTTTCAAACATTTGCGTCCAATTTTTCCATAATAAGTATTTGGTGTATTTTATTTTTAGGCATGTTAACCTTCATTGGACAAGATGGTACAGAGAGTAGGAGAGTTTGAGGGGAAATGGTCTGGGTCAGACTTGAATCCAGGCCCCTGTGACATGGATTTTAGCCCCGAGTATATCACCTGCCAACACAGCTAGCTATAGCACCACCCAGCCCATAAATTCCTGAGTTATGGCCAATGAGGTCACAGTGACTTGGCCCTTTGACTTCTGAATTCTAATCAGCTCATCATTGAGTCCAAGATAACGTACTTGGCAAATGTAATGGAATTCCTTCCCTTTCTGTGATACTGCAGTAACACGGTGACACTAAGGAACCCGATCATCAAAACCAGTTCCGATCATGAAGTCTGTAAATTCCTGCAGAATTTGCAGACATTTAAAAGAAACTGCTTTAATGAGAACCCCCAAACAATGCCTAAATAGCAACATGGACAATTGTTGACAAAGAGCCACTACAGGAAGCGGCTGTTAGAGAGTGACTGAGAGAACCCAAAGCCTATAATGCAGGCAAACGCTGTCTTCATGCAAAGAAACACAGATGCACACAGAGAAACAAAAGCTGTCCTGATGTTTTCTTTCAGACTGTATAGAAGCGTTACAGGATCACAGACTGGGTTTTGACATTCGGTCATTAATCTATAGCCTAGTTTCTATACGTTGGCTCTGTCTAAGTAATAACTTAAGAGGAAAAAGGCCTCTGTCAGTGGTCAAATGTGAAGCAGGTATGAGACGCTCCACTGGAGCCAAATTGGCCAGGAGACCCAGAGAATCATCCATTAAGAGGGACGGCTTGTTCCCAGAAAATGTCAGGAAGAAAACAGAGGGTGAGAGAGGGACCCTTGCTGTTGTAGAAAATGGAAAATCCACTCTCACACGCATACACTTTCTCACAGACACACAGCTCTACCGTGGTGAATGATGCTCTGGTCTAAAAGTTTCTGCACAATCTTGATGGCCGTGTCTCGATCTGAAGCTTCCTTGTGTTCGATCAGCCAATCAATGAGCTCCTTAGCTACAAAGCAGTTCGGGTAAGTCCGGAGGTGGTGCCTCCGGTCCTTGATCACCTTCGCCTCATGGAGCCGCAGCCTGTAAACAAGTAGCAGAGGGGAAGAAAATCTGACTTCAGCACAATTCCTTAGAAACTACACCAGAAATTGGGTTTTTTGTTGTTGTTGTTGTTTGTTTTGCACCTGAAAGGGTGCATTGATTTTGTAACATATAAAGAGACTGTAATAACAGTGAGGAGAGACCAGAGCAGCATGGTGTGTCATTTTACACTCATTTTGCTCATATTGTTCTAAAACAAACAGCTAAGCACTGTTGCTGACTACATGTCCTGATTTGGTTATCGATGTGAGGGTGTCACAATTGAAATTTAAAGTGGAATGAAAACACAGCAAATGCATATTTTTGGTTTGAGATGAAACACAGTATTCAAACACTATCTGCAGGGATTTATAAGGTTGACTGCATGATCACATGATGAACCTCTCAAGCCAAACTTAATTTCCATCATGGGCCAGATACCGCCCACTTTGATCTTGAGATCAAACCAGTGAAACTCCTCCTTATGCCAGTGTAAAAACATTTAAATAAACATTTAAACCCTGAGATCTCTTGATATAAGAAATCCAAGTGTTAGTTCAACAGTACATCTCGGTTTTCTTCATGATAAGCTTTGATAACTGTGATGGCCAAACCCATGGCCACACTCTAAAGTCGGTAACTTTTGTATTTTCATTCTTCATTTTGAACATAGTAATACATTTTAGTTTCCAATAACTTTATTGATTGGTTTGGATACATTTGTTCTATTTGTAAGCGCGCACATTTAGTTTACTTATGTATTCATACTACTTCATTTCTTTGCTTTCTGACTAACTTTTGTCTTTTTATTTCTTACCTGCCATCATCCCTGGGAGTTGCCGGACAAAAGATGGTAGCCAGGGTTTGAAACCATTAAATACAAGGGAAGATAATTGGACCACACCACCACTTCCTGCTGAAGGGGGGAATGTGTGTTTTCTTTACTTTAAAAACAAAGTATTTGTATTTAATTAAATATTTGAGTTTAGGGTTTAATGGGGTTTTTGATTTTCTTCTTTAGTGTTTAGTTTATTAACAAACCAGATTGTACTGCAGCGTTTGTGGTTTATGATTGTGTTTGTTTGTTACCCCTCGTGTGTCACAATGGTTTGATCAGCCATTATATATACCCTTGTATGTCATTTCATGTTTAGGTCAATTATGTATGTTTGGGCAGTCATTTGGTTTGTTAAGTTTGCAGTCTGTGCCTGGGTTCAGTTTTGTTCCTTTGACCTCTTTTATGAGCTCAACATTTATTGCTTTTGTTAATATAATTTTTGGGGGTTAAATAAATGAAAACTATATTTTTCTAATAATTCCTGGGACTCCTCCTGTTTTTCAACTCGGTCCATCACAATAACCCATTCCCACACTGTCCTGCATACATAAAATCTAAAGTTTCAAGTTTCTTGTTTTTAAAATGTGAGCGCACTATAAAAAAGCAAATGTGGACATTTCTATAGTAAATAGTGAAAAATAAGAACTTCTCTGTCATTTAATTGTTTATTTAATAACTTTTCTGTAGCTGGGAAGACTTATTAGTAAAACCTATGAAAATACAGTTAAAAAGTTAAAAATCAATGCACTTGTTCACATTTTTGAAAGCTATTGAGTGGGCTGGATTGAAGTCTTTGCTGGGCTCATTCTGGGCCCCGGGCTTTATGTTTGGCACCCCTGGTGTAGATCCTTCATGTGCTGGCTTCACAGTGACCTCTAGCTGAACCTAGGTATTGTGAAACAGCCCACCAGTCTTAGCCAAGCTTCCTCCAGCTAGCTAGTTCCACTTCATGCTGAGTCTGTATGCAGCTGGCTAGCATCACGCCGGATTAGCTATGACAGCATTAGTCCAAGCCGACCCAACTCTACTGCCAAGACTCACGACGGGCAAACAAGCTCCTCTGAAAAACTTGGAGACTTTGCATCCATGCAATTCTGACATCATCCTCTCTGTGTATTTAGCTCCGGTCTAATCCTCACATAAATTCAACTCAAGAGGAAGCAGAAAGCAAAGTCGTTTCATTTCTTTAACTTGTGCTGAATCACACAGTAACAGGGAGAAGCTTTTCTCAAAGAGTCTTTGCCTACTGGCATGCTGAGTCCCAGGCTGGAAGCATTCATGAACACTTAATAACCATCAGACTCAGCCACAGTGCAACACATTATCTATTCACAGCTATGAACTGGTCACAAGACTTAATACAACAGCTGCATGTGCCTGTTCTTCCATATAGCTGCTTCTCTGTCTGTTTTTAAGCCATCTGCCTGAAACAGATCTGTTCTGTGAGCACGATAGAGCACAAACAAGTGATAACATATTTTAAAACAGTCTGCTGTTATCAGTAACGGAAACTGTGTCATTCATGTTCCATGAGCTTGACTCATGATAAAATGAGCTAACAAAGGTGTGGGCACTGCTTGCTCTCATCAGCAAAGTGTAATCTTATACTTATGAATGCTGCGGTTCTCAGACTGAAAGGGAATGTGACGTTTTTAAATCTCTCATTGCATTTGGTATGAGCAAACACTCCAGGACAAAGCTAAAAAAAACAAAGGAATTGCAGCCAAACACAAAAGGAGAAAGTCAGACATTAAACTGTCCCGTGTGTAAGAGTGTTTCCAGGATTATTATTTTTTTAAATAGGATGCAGCGAAGGGAAACCGAGAAGGACCATGGGTCATGTTTAATCAGAAAACTCTCATTAATAATATGAAACAAAACAAATTACAAATATTCACAAGCTACAGTGCTGTCCAAAGGTTTTGGCATCCCTTATCTCCTTATATTTTGCTTCCAAAGAGCCAGACCTAATTGTATTTTTTTAATTGGTCTTGAGCAATAGTTCTCCAGGCTTTCTGAAGGTCTTTCAAAAATTTTCTTTGGACATTGGCTGCTTTGTTACCCTCATTTTCACTCTAGTCCTTGTATCGGAGGAATTTTTTTTTGTTTGTGAAGCTACTTAACACTGACCTTTGAGTCATTCGAGTATAAAACAAATACTGTACATAAGAGAAAACTTAGCCAAGAATGAATTTTAATTGTATTTTAGGCACTGTGTATTACCAGCCAGTTTTTCTTGCATTTCTTTAGTTAAATTAATGAAAAATGCCAAAGATAAAATTGTGCTTGTGCACCAACAAGGTGTTATTAGCTGAAGACTTTGCAGCATGGTGTGGAAAACTGGGCAAGTGGTGATCCTAAAAAACCACCCCAAACTATCCAGAACAGATGAAAAGTCTCTTAAAGTCATGTCCTTAAGAAATAAGAACATAGAGAACATATAGAGAAATCAGGGGTGGCCCGAGACCTTTGCACAGCACTGATTCGTGATTTTTGGCTGCCCTGTACTATAACTATACGGTGGCCACAAGATTTAACAGTGAGGTAATGAAACCGGGTTGAAACAGTGACTATGTTTTCATTTCGCTGAGTGTTAGAAATAAAGGACAGTCCCTGACACAATTTTTCCGACTTTCTATAGCCACACTAGCCACTGAAGGAGACTGCACTTACCCACTGCACCGCATTAACTTAAATGTTAACGTCAGCATTCCTAAATGCTCACAAAGGCAATTTAACATGCTGATTGCCAGCATAAATAATGTTTACTATATTCACTGAAGGTCATTTTTTATATGCATACATACATACAAAAAAGCAGCCAAGAACAGTTTTGGTTTCTATTCATGCACTATCCATAGTATGGGAAACGCTGACCTGGCGATGGCAACAGATAAAATTCAATTTATTCCTCAGTGTTTGTCCATCCATAAAGCAGCCAACCAGCTTGATGTGGCACCAAAATCTATATGTGTACCAAATTCATTTTATTTTATTATATTCAATTTTTTTTGCAATCCATCAAATAGTTGAACTGTTCAAGCGTGAAGCAAAGCAGTGACAAAAAGACATCTTTGAAACTGTCAGGAATTAAGATTTAGGCCAGAGAGCAAGTCTTACAAGCCACAACCTTGAGTCCTTTCCCCCAGAACAGCGGCATCTCAGGAGACCCTGGAACAGCCTCCACAACCAACCTTTCGTTCACTGACACTGACCACAATGCCAGCTGGCAATCTCAGTGTGCAGCAGTGCCAAGGACACTGACACACACACACATGGTGAGCATATAATGATAAACAGGGAAAACTGTTGCAAGAAAACTGTTAATCTCTTTAGGAAGACTGAAGTGATACTGCTTGTGGTTTTTTGGAAAGCAACATACTTCAAAACACAACCACAAAAACATACTTTAGCCACATATTTCCATATAGTTCCGTTGGGGGCTGAAATTCCAGGCATTGATGCCATGCTTTACCAACTGGGCCTCTATTCATTGCTGGGGGTATGAAGTAGTGAATGAACTGCTGGTTATGTAGTCTTTTTTTCTTTTTTCTTTTTTCTTTTTTACAGTACAGTGGGTCAAAGGGTACAGCATGTCAACAACACTGCTAGCAGTGTTGGTACAAATCCCTGATAGGATGAATGGGCAGGGCTTGATAATGACACCGGGTTAGTAAGTTCATCATTCTCTGCGGGGCTCAAAGGGCACTGTATAGATGGAGCACCAGAAATGAATGCTGCAAAGCAGGATCCTGCAGATTCTGGACATTAAAGTGATATAGTAACGTGAAAATGCGTTACATAGTGGAGATGAGGAGCAACAGCGTGCACGAGGAAGGTTATGCATGTGCGAATGTCTTTGTTTGGTTGTGCATGGTGCAGTGGGGCAAAAAAACAAAACAAAAACAGGCTGCTGTACCCGTTTGCATGGAGAGGGAGCCACGTGATTGCATGGTTATTAACCTGCTGTCAAATATCTCCCAAAACCCGCTTCCCTTATTTACTGTCATGGCCTTTTACATGTACCCAAAACATGCTGACATGAGCATGCATAGTAACTTAAAAGCTGCTAGAAATTCCTTGCTATTAAAGCTGTCAAATCACACGAAAGGTACCACAAACTTTGCCAAAAACAAGGTAGGACGCTACACCCTGTGAATTCTACGAGAACTTGGAGCTGAACCGACCGACATACCTGAGCTGTTCCCCGGTGACAAGCACCTCGGCCAGACGCTCCAGCTCGGCAGCCTTCTTCTGCATGGTGTTCCCGATGCCGTCCATCTCTCTGCTGAAACAAGAAGCAAAGGGCAGGGGGGGTTGTGTTTCTATGCATCCAAATGTGCATCACTGCTTTTTAGGTGACAAACGCATAAAGAATCACCGGATTGGACAAAGGCGTGGAGAAGATCCGTGCGCTGATGACAAACAATGCACTGACACCTCGGTTTCTGCTTACCCTTCAAGCACCATGGAGAGCGGTGAGGGTAGGCTCGCAGGTATTCCTTGGATGAAAGCGAAGAAAGGAATTATTCCATCCCGGGAAACACGAGCAACAATGCCGGGAGTGAGACGCAAAAACAATCCAGGCAGCGCCTCAGTGCGCCTGCAGCTTCATCAGCAGTTCTCCACTTTCAGTTCCCTGGATTGGAAAAAAAAAAACCCAAACAAGAAAATCTACTCTTACAGATCAGTGCATGCATGCATGCCCCCTCCTCCTCGTAGTCTCCTTGAACCCCTGCGTTTAATCTTTGAATTCAGCGCTAGTGACAGCAGCTCTCTCTCTTTCTCTCTCTCTCTCTCCCTCCGTGCGGTGCTCGGTTTGTTTGTCCCCGCGTGCGACCAACCACACGAGCTGACTGCACGTTTTCTGCACGGAGCAGCCGGAGCCCATCCACAAAGCCCCCGCATTGGGAGGACTCTGCTGACGTCACTGGGGGAGTTCACCGAAGGGGCGGGATTGCATGTGTGTGTGAGCGTGTGCAGGTGTGCGTGCGCTCGCTTCTGGAAAGAATGAGGTAGGATAGGTGGGACATGAGGGGGTAATTTTAGCTACAAATTCGGGTTGTACACCTTTCTCCTTTGCACGTGTTCGTGTATTTTCTAGAGGAAAAAAAGGCATTCTGTCATTTACAACTGTAAAAGCAACTGTAACACCTGTGATTTACACAAACTAAATTAGTAACAATTTGGAGCTTAATAATAAGATTTGTTTGTATTTATTCCACAAAATGGGACGTCTCCACCTCCCTTACCTGTTAAATGTATATGCTATAGTGTACAAAAGAGGGGGGAAAGACACAGAAGGAGATTATGTAACATCCTATAAAGCAATTCAGTGCAGACAAAGAATGCCAACTGCAATTTCTATTCAAATAAAGTGTGTCAGTGTAGCCTACTTGTAGCTAAAAAGGCCTCAGGACAAACTCTCACAGGCAACAGGAATCCAATCATAAGCTACCAAAACATCTTCCTATGACATGTGAGCAGGGTGTAGCTCAACCTACGCAGCAGCAGCACACAAATTCCTGTGGACATGCACACTGCCTTACATGTGTTGCTCAATGTATAAAATAACAACATATGTCGAAACTTGTCAAGGAACTGGAAGATTAGTTCCAACTCAAAAACAAAGTATTCTGTGTTACTGTACAGCTCCTTCATTTCTCTATATTTTGTTTGGAAAGTTGGAAACAGGTCCACTGATTTTCTGGATAGAGTATATAAACAAACAAACAAACAAACAAACAAACAAACCAAAAAACAGATTTAGTACCTGTCTAAGAAGATATTTTCTTTGAATGTTGGCTGCGTCCTGTTCTGTGTCACAAGCATCCCACACCGCTTCAGTGTGGAGGCCAATCTATAACTGCTAGTCTTCCTCTGTGCATCTTTCTCTTTTACTGCATTGGCTCTGTGTTTGGGGTCATTGTCATGCTGAAAAATGAAGCTGTAGCTAATTGGACATTTTAAAAGATGTTGTTGTGTGGTGGACCAAAATCTGATGGCCCTGCTTTCATAATTCCATCAATTCTGACAAGATCTCCACCACCACAAATGTAGCCCCAAAGCATGACAGAAGCCTCCACTGTGTTATACAGATGGCTGTAAACACTCACTGCTGTACAGCTCTCCTGGCTCCTCAGTAAACACCAATAATACAAACCAAAAATGTAAAATTTGGATTAATCACTCTGTCAGACCCGTTGCCACTGATTTTCAGTCCAGTCCTTGTGCAATTTGTCATACCTCGGCTATTTCTCCCTGTTCCTTCAGTCCAGCCTTCTGGGATTTCCTTACCTGGATGATTGAGCATGCACCAAGACAAAAGAGAAACGTGGCGAAATTGAACAATAGACAAGAACTTCTGGGTTATGGTGTAATATGTGATAACCCACAATGAACAGATCACTTCTATGGTCTATAATAAAATAAAATTACATTAAATATGCAGTGCACTAGAGTCAGGGTAGAGCATCTTTCTTCCTGCCCTCCACTCAGTCAGAGTCTTGGTGGCTGTGGCCTGGCAGCACCAACTGCTGCCAACACTGTTTACATGTGATGGTATTATTCTTCCTTGCGTACCACTTCATTTTTGCCACTGTTCTTCTCCCCCTGCCCTTTTCTCTTATGATAATGCTGGGTGGTGTAAAGCACATCCATGAACCCATCACAGGTTGGTGAGGAACAAGAGAATGGGAGGAGGCAGGAAAGGGCAGGCAGCTGGGTGGGTTTCTTTCAGAGGTAACAAGGAAATGGACCCACTTGGGAGCTTCATCTGTTTCAGTTGGGCCATCCCTGCAGAACAAAGGCAGAACAACCACACAACTGAAATACTTTTGTAATAGCCTCCTTCTCTCTTGATAAGGTAAATAATCTATCAAGTTCTCGACTGCTTTCATTTAATTGTTTGTCAATTACTTAACTATTTCTGTGTGGGTGTATGCGGCAGGTCGGGGGTTCTTATCACCAACAAAAGCTGTAAACTTAAAATACAGGGTTAAGTAAAAAATGTAGGCCATAGGAACCCTTCATACTCAAGGCAGGGATTTTTTTTCGTAGGGCCTTCCAGATTTCTGGCATCCTTGCAGAGTGGATCAGAGGGACAACAAAAGTGTTGCAGCTCCTCTCTCCATCATATGCCTCAGTCAACTGCTTGAGCATGACTTCCTCACCGTCCTGGATGGTCCTTCTACAGTGAAGTATCATCTCTGCTTTGGTGATGTAGCTTGTCACATCTGCTTCTGTAGGGCACATGTGACTTGTTTCCTTGCTTCTGTGGGCTTAGCTGCCCTGAGTCATTGCAGGTCGCTGTCATCCCACAAAAAGATGTAGCTGGTGACTTGGGCCATGAAACCAGAGTAGAGAGCGTGGGAATCAGTTGGGCATCCAGTAGCAAATGTCCTAGTAACATTTGTTACCCAAGCTGCTGTATACCGGGGCTCACCTGCCAGCTTCCTCACAATCTTCTTGGTGAAGTCCATTTTGATAGCCTGTCCAAACAGGGATGTGATGGAGGCCTTCACTTTATCCAGCCTGCTGAGGACATCTGGGGATATACGTGCATCAGTCAATGATTTTTAGGTCCTGCAGGCAGTGAGAAACTGAATTTGCTTCTCAAGCCAGCTTTTAGCATGCTCTTCCTCCAGTTGCTTTTTTTGGCTGCTTCTGTTTCCCAACCTACGCTGATGCATGAATAACACAACCTGGATGTCACATCCCAGCTTGTATGTCAGAAGACATGGGAAGTGTAATTGCGATGGCCAACATCTAGCTGGGAAATGATGGTGTGGCTCCAGCTGATCATCTTTTGTTTGCAGCTCCTACAGGCAAGATATTCTGAAGCCAAGTAATAAGAGTTGCTGATATCAACTATGAGCTTGATCTACTAATGTAGTCCAGCAGATATAAGATCTGACTTGCAACAGTCTGGATGTGGACAGTACAGCCTCACACGCCACAGCGTCCTATCCATCCAAAGGAACAGGGGGTGGCCAAAGTACTGCTCCAGTGCAGGCAGAGCACTTGAAATCAGTGAATTGCACATTCTGTCTACCTTTGTGTGGTCCACCTCTGATTGATTAAAGCGCAACCACTTGTACAACGTTTTGGAAATCCACCTCTGGTCAATATCTGGTAAGGCGTGGATCCAGCCAGCAGGAAGGAAAATTCTCTATTAAACCGATAACAGAGAATAAAAGTACAATAATTTTTTAACTTATATTTTGTGTGTGTGAGAGAGGAACCACATACCTAGCATAACCCAGTACATTTTCAGCCAACCGCTGAAGCTTATGGCCCCTGAAGATTCCAGACTGCAGAAGATGGTGTTCATTATCAGGGTCCCCACCTTGACAGAACAGCCATCCTTGCTGACTCTTTTACCTTCTCAGGTGAGAGAGCTCAGGCCCATGGTCTTTTCTCTGCTTTGACTGTCTTGGCCTCTTCTGTGTCAAAGCGACTGGCACAGCCGTCCCCTCTCCTTCTTCTAAATCTAGGATCCATTCTGTTTCAAAAAAGGACAAAAAAAACTCGGTCAGTCTCTGATGGGCAATTAATTGTGCTACTCTTACTTTATTTGCTCATGTCCCAATGTGCAAACTAGTATGTTAAACCGTGTAGTATTTAACATTATCAGGGTTGCATATGATAGCTTGCTACATAATAGCTTGTCGCACAATGCTGTATATTAACTAATAGAATATGAATTAGAATTTGCTCACAACTCTCCTAACTTTAATTTACTTTATTAAAAATAGCTGGGTTAAGTATATATAAACTTTAGCTGCCGATTTAGAAGGCGGGACTAGTCTGTGTGGTTAGACACAGATTGGTTAATTTAGGTGAGCTAGCGAAAGATGGTGAAAATAAACCATTAATATTACTTTGCCTTTGGGAGTGTAGTTACCTGGTTTATTGCTGTGGTGGGCACTCTGTGACGAAATGTAACTAGTGTTTCTGTCTGATTAGCCTGTTCTTATGGAAGAGGATTAGGACCACTAGAAAGACAGAAAAAGTAGCCACGTCTTTCTTTCTTTTTTTCTTTTCCAGAATTTTTATGAAAAAAGTCTGACTTTTTCTCAGAATTCAGAATTTTTTCTCTGAGATTAACCTTAGAATTCTCAGACTTAATCTCATAATTGGTGTCTTTTTCTCAGAATTCTGAGATTAAAGTCAGTATATTGAGAAAAAAGTGTGTTCGACAATTAGCTTGAGACGTCCTGCCACCTTATTTGTGTAAAGCTCAACAGCGACATCTGCTGACCAACGGAGCCTTTTAAAGTAAGAGAGGAAGAGTGGTACGCTAACGAATTGCAAGTGTGCACTGAGTCTGTCACGTGGGCCAGTGGCGCAATGGATAACGCGTCTGACTACGGATCAGAAGATTCTAGGTTCGACTCCTGGCTGGCTCGTCGTATTTTTAGCCTTCATTCTCTTATATAAGAGTTAAATGCTGGATGACTTGCTAGAGATGTATAATTCCAAGAAATAGTGGATGTATTGATTATATTGTGTGCTAGTGACCAGAAGAATAAAGAGGCAGGCCTGTTGCCTGAACTTGCTGGAATTTCTAGAAAGATTTGACCAATTCAATGTGGTACAAAGAATCAAAAGGGATCAGTCATCAATCAGTCAATTTTCTTGGCAACAAGTACAGCTTCAGTTCAGTTTGGTTGTTTGGGGGAAGACAAAGTTTCTTGGATAAACACAGATAAGTATTATTGTTATAACTATTAGAGGTTGTGTCAGAACCATCACAATACCTAGGATCTCGTGGAGATGGAGACGTAATTCGTTCTACGGAAGTGAAAGTAAAACAAGGAAGCTTTCTTAAATTTATATATGAGGAGAGTGGAAAAGATCGAGCCAGCCAGGAGTCGAACCTAGAATCTTCTGATCCGTAGTCAGACGCGTTATCCATTGCGCCACTGGCCCACGACGGTCTCCACTCGAGATCTTCCTACTTCACAACAGTGTAAGTATTTGCAGTCCAGGTTTACTCGTTCTTTTTATAAGTATAACATTAAAAAGAACAATAATTGTTAAATGAATAAATCGTAGTAGTTACAACTTAATGAGAAAAAACTCGGCCTAGTTGCTCTTTATGCCAGCAGGTGACGCCATCGTGCTTATTTTCAGAGCTAGTGAACACGGTGCCTAAACAAATCAGAAGATCATAGGATCGAGTTCTTCCTTGTTGCGTTTTTTTTTTTTTAGCCAGCCAATCTGCCTGCGCCTAAAGAGGATGTGTGTAGACTAGGGGCTTCCAACTCCAGTTCTTGAAACCTTCTGTCCTTCAGCTTTTAGATGCATCCTTGTTCCACAAGACATGAATCAAATGAATGGCTTGTTACCAGACCTTTGCCAAACTTGTTGGCATGCTGAAGAGGTAATTCAACCATTTATTTCACCTGTGTTGGAGTAGGGATGCATCTAAAAGCTGCAGGACAGAAGCTCTCGAGAAGTGGAGTTGGAGACCCCTGTTGTAGACTATCATTGCAGAAAAAAACATGGCAGTGGCTGCCGTGCTCCTCAGGACTAATAGTAAGGAGGACATTGTTCCGAATTTGAATATGTGGCAAGAAAACAAACCAATGGAGGCCCAGTAGAGTGCAATCAGATGAAGAGTTTATTAAGAACACACACGTGGGAAGAAGCACACAGCATCACATCAACGGACTTCTTCGCCCAAAATACACAGACAATGGCTTTTTATAATGTCAGGGTTACCGCCCCTTCACGCGTTATAAGAACATTATTTGCATCTTGAGAACATTATGTGCATCGTTTACAGACAATGATCAATTTTTAGAGCTAAAGGCAGACAAAGAAGTTCCTTTTTCTAGCATCTTTTCCAAATATGGCGATGACTTCAGGCCCTGAAGGCCCCCGTGGACTTGTCCTCCTCTCTGACACATCTTCTGTCACCTGTTACTAAGCAAACTCAAATGCAACAGGTTGCTGAATGCATTCAGGCCTTTGCTCAGGCCTGTTTCTAGATTGTATGTATTATATGTGTTTTGTAGGCATGTATGCATTTTTAACCTTCTGTAGCTCAGAAGTTACAGAACTCAATTACTTCTAGCTCCATCAATGGCATCATGGACACCGGGGTCACCGCTCCGGGGTCCACTGGCCTCGTGATTACCTTTTCCAACAATCCTCTGGTGCAAGGAATGAGACAACAACCACAAGTCACCAATATCCCTAGAAATGATGCAATAGAAAGCATTACAGACATCACAAACCCTTTCCATTGTCTGAACACGGATGTCATCCAGCTCTCCAGCGGGTTGTCGATTCCTGAGTGTTCATGCATAGTTTTAGACAAAGTTTTCAGCCCTTCCAGAGCTCGAGTTACTGAGCCATCTGGGGCAGTGTTGTTGGGGATAAAGGTACAACACGTCTCCGAACATGGCACATACACCCCCTTTCTCTGCCAACAACATGTCAAGGGCCATTCGATTTTGCACTCCCATCAGCGAGGTCGGACCCAACTGTTCCGCAAACCCCTCCATGCCGTCTCTGGTTAGGTTAGAGAGTCTCAGCAAGTTATAGTTGACATAATTTATGCAATCAACATTCTTGTTTGGAGTTACCCAGATGAATATACTTTCAAATCCTGAAGCTACTTGGTCTGCTAGTTTATACTCATTTGGAACTCCCCTGGGCACTCCTATTGAGTCAATCCAGGTGGGTGAATTCAATCTTGGGTCATACGCATGTGCCCCCTGGGTCCCTCTCTTTGCCAAAATGTGTCTCTTACGTCTGGCAGCTAAAGTGCATGTGTTGTGTTGTGGTAGGGCTTTTACCTGGTTTCCCATCAGTGTGAGTGGAGCTCCCAGCCGTACCATAGCACATGTCCCCTCACTTCCCAGAGGAACCCAAACCAAAAGAGTGCGGTGTCCACAGTAATAATACAACCCACTTCTAGCCCATGTTCCAATCAGAGTGTTTGGGTCACTTACATTGTTGGTGGTTCTTCCTGTGAGTGTGACAGCACACCAGCTTGGGTCAATTTCTCCCAATTCGTACTTTACCTCATCTGTTGAAAACTTAAAACATGTATAGTTGCCTTGTCTTGACATAATTGGTCCCACTGTTGTCTGCTTTGGGATTAGAGGAAAAAGACTAGACAACAGAGTGCAGTTGCCAGTACTCACTGCACTTTTAGTCAGCCTCAGCATACAGTCGTAGCCCCACTTGTCCTCTGGATACAGTGGTGCGGGCTCTGTAAACAAACGTGGTCTGGCTGAAGCACAGGCAACACAATCAGATACCTGTTGTTCTTTAGCATCAGCATCTATGCTGAATGGATATCAGCCAATGTTGAAGAAGTTACACCGTTAGCCTGTTTGTCAGCTTAATATAATTAATCAGTAATAAATAATAAATTACGACGGTGAAAAAGCAACAGGAGACGCTTGTTAAGGGGTCTGAAATAGCAATTTAATAGTCTAAATCAAATTTGGCTTGTTGTATTTTATTAATTAAATATTTCCTTTACAACAATCAAACAGAACACAGTTGGTTACAAAATAAGGACTGCAAATGTCAAGCAAGCAAGCATTAAGTTAGTATATGAATAAAATATGGATGGCAAAAAGCATCAAACCGAAAATGTTCTGGAAGGGAAATAACTATTTAAAGGGGAATTGCCCAAAAAATAAAACAGACAAATGATTATAGGCCTACAGTATATATAAATATTTATAAAAAAAATATGCAATGATCTACAGTTCTAATACCAGCATTCTCATAGGTGCATAGAAAACTCACTTCTATTTCTCCATGTGCTTAGAACAGACTAACAGTATAACCAAGTCTCTCACTTGATAAAACACATTTGGGAAATTATTTTGAAGGATCCTGTAAATTAGCTTTAATTTCAGTGGTCACTGGGACATTTAAAAGAAAAAAACCCATTGATGTTGTTGATGTTAGCAGGATTTATCCCAAAATAATGGTTAAAAAACAAACAAACAAACACACAAACACACATTTCCCCCTCAGAGTTATACTTCCACTCCAATCTTTGGTTTTGCCAAATCATTCCAGAGATTCCAATTCAGGATTCTTTCAGTGCCACGATGCCCGTCTCTTATACCCCTGGAATTAAGTATCGATTTATTCTCGTGTGACACAGATGTGTCTAAGTTATTATATGATGTAACTAAATGTTGAAATTAACAGCAGAAGTTTGGAGGCAAAGTTGAAGGCACACAGTCTAGGATATTTACACAACCAAGGCATTTCATATTTACACAAAGAAAATTTATAATATGACAACACTTCTGGAAAGTCTGCATGCAATGCTTCATTTAAAGTAGGGTTTTGGTGCATTGCAGTACTTCATTATTGGATTCTGCATAAAGGACACTTCATTGACATTCCTGTCAATATACATATCAAACTATATTTCAGGACGTCTCAATCCTTTACAACAAGAATTGCAAATAAATTCCCGAAGTCCATATTTTGCAGTTCCTTCTCCGATCCATCAGGTGTCTCCCACCACCTGGAGCGCTGTTAGTAGGAGGCGGCAGCGACTGAAGAGGAGCGGCCGGGCTGGATGTGCTTCAGGTGGCAGGAGTGGCAGAGAAGGTGTCCGTTCAGCGGGTAACAGCGGTGACCTTCCTCATCGTTCAGTTCCATCTTACAGTCCTGCAGAGCATGAAGCAGGAACATGGCTGAGACATGTCTACTGAGTGAGCTTCAGCAGATAGAACAGTCGACAAAGGGTGTGATTGTTGCTCTGTATTGATCTTGGAAAATTTGACAGCAATAATGGCTCTGGTCAGCAGAGGTTTTCTTTTGTGCTGCAAGATTTCTTGAAAGAAATGTTTCTAACACTAAATTTTGTGCTTTTGAACAACCTGAAAGACTTAAAAATAAAAAAATAAAAAGCTGAGAAGAAACCATCCAGTAGTTACACAGAGGCACTTCTCACAGCTCAGTGATTATGAGAGAGAAAGAAAAAAAAAAAAAAAGAAGCTGTCAATCATGCAAAAGAACAAACAACAGGTACTTGAGAAAATGATCAGATGGTGATGATGAGGTGTTGCATACCTGCTCTGCTCAGCACAGCATAATTACCAAGACTGTAATTAAGATCGGGGATCTACTCATTATAATTTCATTTAATGAGCTATTCAGAAAGCGACTGGCTAAGAGCCACTAAAACACACATTTTACATTTCGAGGTGTTTTTACTTACCTCACAGTGATAACATTCAACATGATAGTCTTTGTCCATGGATACTACTCGAATGGTTTCATCAGACCCCTGGAAAAAACAAAAAACCCCAAACAAACCACTGAAGGTAATATCACTAGAAAATGCTCCACTCTCTCCTTCTGTTCAACTTCTCAGTTTGACAAAAGCTTCAAAAGATCGATAAGAAGCCCGGGGACGTCAATGCAAGCCACGAGCTGAATGATCTGTAACTCCTCTGCATCACAACTTTGGAGCTCAAGTGCTTGGCAATCATCTTGGCGAGTGTTGAGACATGACTGCCACTGGTTGCTCCAGTATCAGAGCAGTTTCATTCTATGTTGTGAATGTACTCAATTTATTTCTCCCTCCCGTCAAACGATAACTCAGATGAGCCCTCACATTGTTGTGACCAGCTTGAAACTTGAGCTCTGTGTTTGGGTCTTAAGGATTTATAAACAATCACGTTCTTACTGAATGACAGTCCATGTGTAAAAATAGCTGATCATGCTCTACTCCTACAGTTTCTTAGTCATCTTAGCTTTATGGTTCTTCTCACAGTCTTTGCCCTCCTGTGAACCTGAGCTAATCATTCTCTACAGTAAAGATAAAAATCCGGCGCTTTATGATCATATCCTGTACACAGGTTCACATTTCAGCTCCAAATTACATATACTTATCTGGATACTGAGTAATTTTCTCAGCACCTATGTGCTACAACACAGTCCAGCTTGCCTACAGTAATCACTGAGTGGATCTGAAGTTTAAATAAATATTTCAGATATTCTCCAGTCACCAGAAAAGTAAGGTATTTGAAGCTGCCATAGAGGAGTTCAAATGTCAGCGCTGCTTTTAACCAACAAAGCTGCGTCCTTATGGTGTAGAGATGAAGGTGTTTACTATGAATGGTGCCCAGTTTACTCTGGCTAGTGGCCTTTATCGCATTTTATTTATTCTCTTTACTGTCTGTGCACTTCCAGGCATACAAGTCTCTCATACCAGATTATGAATTACATTTTTAATATGAAATTATATTTACTTTGATTTCTACCCAGATTCGTTTTTACCTTATTGAGACAGGCGTTTTTTGTGTCATATTTTATTTGATTGATTTAAGCTGCTTATTATACTGTATGGTTGTCTTTCACTTATTTTTAACTGATGTACCCAGGGTGTTTCCTTCTTTTTTTATAACTAAAATATATCTTATGTGGGTATAAAAACATGATTTGTGTTGTGCCAGTTTGGTATGGTAATTTAAATTAACGCCTGCATATATAAAGGGATGAGTAGCCAACTGGACATCATTTTTTTTATTTCACTTTTTTGATTTACAAATGAACAAATATGCACAAAAGAGAGGATTGATAATTTATCAGCTAACATTAGCAAACTTAGTAAACAATTTGTTAACGGGAGGAGAGATTTAAAAACGTCCTGCTGCATGTGACAGTTGTTGGTTTAAGTTTACAGAAAGAGCAAAACAGTTTGTGTGTCACAGGCTGTAAACACGTTTGATTCTACTGTGTGGTTGAGCGTTTTTCAAGTGGCCGTTTGTGGAACTAAATGTTCACCACCTATTTTTTTTTTTTTTTTTTAAACCCAGGACAAAGTTTGTTTTGGTGTTTTCTTTTGAGAAAAGCTCAAAATGTTCAAATGCACATTGCTGATGTTACCCAAGTAAAACAGCAAGCGATAGCTTACCTCTGAGGGCAGGATTGGCTGGTTACAGGCAACATTTAGGGTGCAAGGACGCCTGGGAAATAAGAATGGAAAGAGAAACTTTTTAAAGACTTTTTTAAACTTAACTGGAGAAAAAAAAAAAAAAAAAAAAGAACTGTAACGACTAAGGTAAATGTAGTAACTAAATGAGCTGAATTAAAATGAACTCTATCCAGACTTTAAAGATCACAGTTCATATGCAGTGTCCCTTTACCAGACGTTACACCCCCCCGCCTCCTGATTCAGCTAAGGAAATGCCAGGTCTGCAGATGTGCTGGCTTCACTTCACACACGTGATTCCCCAAATCCAAGAACGAGTAGAAAATTAAAGCGCAAACTGGATTCATTATTTCCACACACGTGGCAGGCACCTGGAAGTCTGAGGAAATAACAAAGGGTCTCTCAGTGTGGATGGGCATGACTGTGGCCAAAAGTCACATAGCTGTATACACAATAAGGCTTGTCTGATTTAATCAGCGTAGAGAACATTTGGGGGCTGCCAGGCAGAGATCGGCCACGTGCTCGGTTCTGCTGTACATGCTGTCCCAGCAGGAAAAAAACAAAACAAAACAAAACAAAAAAGAACAGCTGGAACTGCAGAGCCGCTGTGGAGAGCGAGCCTTTACAGGTGCTGCACATTCAAATGTGATTGCAGTTTGTCAAAGTGGTTAACAGTTCCCACACATGGATTCATACATAAACCTTTGACCCCTACTTTATATAGTTATGTCCAATAATGGAAGAGAGTAGGGCTGGGCGATATGACCCAAAATTCATATCTCGATATTTTTTAGCTGGATGGCGATATAAGATATATATCTCGATTTTTTTTTTAAAGCCATAAGTTAAGAACAAAAAGAGAGTTCTTAGTCACACTGTGTCCCAGATGTCACACGGGCACTTTTATTTACATACAGCGTAGATGTACATGAAGAAATTACTCAAAAATAAATTATCAGCATTTATTAAATAATCATGGTCCATAAATAAAAGAAAACAATGTTGTTTTTGTGCATAACAAAAAGCTCACAATTGTGCAGTCAAAATGTAAACTAATAGACGCTGAGCATAATAACAAAGAGACAGATTTCACAGCTGCACCACGTCTCTGAACAGGTGCCATTTGTGGTCCTTATACACACACAGTACGTATCACTCCGCGAGGCTCCTCCTCGGTAGCCGTAATCCTCCGACAATCCATCAAGCGGTGCAGCTCCGTAGCTTAGCAAAGTCATATTAAAACATTTTTTGACAGATTGCTGAGCGCTGTGTACCACATAAAATCGGTTCGCGGTCAGTAAGCACAACCAGAATTCATACATAAGGCGCACTGTCGATTTTTGAGAAAATGAAAGGATTTTAGGCCGTGCAGCCCCTCGGCTGCATGTCGTTAGCGCGGTTAGCTCGTTAGCGCGGTTAGCTCGCTAACACGTTGACGCCGTCCAGCCCCACGCACGGTAACTCGCTAACGGAGATTTTCCGCTTTCATCTTGTCATTGCCTGCAGGTGAAGCTATGGGGGAGGCGGAGTTGTGTTCAGTGAAGGAGAGGCGAGGCCGAGTAACGTTGCGTAGAGACAAAAGTGGACGAAAGAGAGGCAAACCTGCGGCTCCACAAGTATAATTATAACGTAACATAGACTATATCGATATAAACGATATTGTCACATCTTATATCTCGTATGAAAATATATCGATATTTTTAAAAAACTCGATATATCGCCCAGCCCTAGGAAGAGCCATGGCTCTGTGCCACTATTCACACCTCTAACTGGACAGTGATATTTTCTTTCCTCCCTCCCCCTCTCTCTCTTGCCCCCTGCCAGAATAAACTTCTCATGTGTCTGCCACATGTGGCAGAGGGAAACTTAGTCAACCCGTGCAGGCCTTCTCAACCTGATCCCGCCATAGCAGAGGAAAGTTAAAGGGCTGTGCTAGTGAGTTCAATTGGAACATGAAACCTGGACATGTTTTCCCAGCGTCACTTTAAACTAAATCCACCCCAGACAAATCCAGGTGCTCCTTTAATTACTGTGTAACAAGCGACACTCACCTGTGGTAGTCTTTGACACAGTAGATCCTATTTTCGGTGTCCACAGTGAAGGGCACTCCATCAAGGCTCTCGTTACAGATGACACAGCGGAAACAGCCTGGGTGGTACGACTTCCCGAGGGCCTGCAGGATCTATGGAGAGGAATGAGTAACACGCTTCATGTTTCTTGGTATTTTGAATGGTCATCATAAAAAAAAAGGAAAAAAAAGAGAACATTTTGGTGGGTTAACCGAGTCATCATCACAGCCCAGAATAGACTAAGACAAATAACTCCGCAAAATACAAGAAGCAAGCTTACCTACCAAACAAATCACAAAGATTGACCCAATTTTAACACATTTTATTTACAGCGAGAAAAACTAATAAATCTCCTTTACTCAGCCTACTGAATGGTTAACATATGCAGACTCGTGTCAACAGTCTTTCTTTACTTCCTGACTTGTGATGACATCATATCGGGGTGTTTTTAAACCACAAGCCTGTGTGTCTGTGTTTGAGGAGACAGACAAAGACACAGAGCCAACGCTCTTTATTGAGTCATCATCCAGATGTGTGCACTGAATGCTCATTTAGGATGAAGTAACCACGTTTAGTGCCGAGATCACCAGACACTGACACACAAAAATCACACAGAAGCCCATTCAGCTGACGAGAGGAACCCAACAGTTACCATGTCCATGATCAAGTGTCCGCAGGCGTTGCACTTGTCTGCAGACTGCTGGAAACCAGAATACTACAACAGAGAAAACACAAATATGGTTTATTAACGGATTTTCTCACAATAGGACCCCTCAACAGCTCCACAGTGTCTACCCTAGGCCAAATCCCAGGCCATCTGGGCGGCTGAACTAAAACCATCTCTACAGTTTGTTGCAGTAACATTTGCTTCAGTGACATTTTTTCCGATTTAGTCACAAAGTCAGTACAGTGTAGTTTGTTTTGAGTATATTTAAGTATTTAAAAAATATTATGTAGGAAAATATCAGTGAGAACAGTGCACACGTACAGGCCTGGCAGAATACATATGCATATATCACCACTTCATACAGAGAGCAAAGCCGGAGCAAATTTAATTCAGTATAAATGTTGATTTTAATTGAGAAGCTACGAGCTTTTGGTGGAAGGGCAATTACAGGAGGTTTTACACAGAGAGGGCTCGCGGGGTAAACAGACACAGGGCTGCTGAGAGAGCAAGAATGAGTTCGTAAAATACTTTTCACATGAACGCAACATGAACACCAGCTGTAAAACGCAGACAAAAAATTCATGACAAATTCTAACTTAGGCTTTTAATGGAGTTGAATGCATCTGTGATTATGCACAGGGAATGTTCTTTCAATTTTTTTTCAAAGTACACGTGGGAATACTCTGATGGTCCAATTGGCCTGACTGCCCTCCAACCCATCAGCAGTAGGAAAGCTGTTTCTCCAGTAACAGACCTCTTTCCAGTCTCACTTTAAGGAAGTAATTCACATTGAATACTGGAAATTCTCTTAACTGTGTCAGAAGGTCATGTCTCTGATTGCCATTTGCATTCAAGTGGAATGAAGCAGTTTTCAATAATCATGGGTTGGATTAAGGAACAATGTACACCCCCCCCCCCCCCCCAAAAAAAAAAAAAAAAAAAAAAACCCAACAAAATAACTTCTTTGAGCAGCTCCCTTATTTACAAGGGGTCGCCACAGTGGAGGGATATTTGATTTGGCAGACATTCCTATGCCGGACGCCCTTCCTGATGCAACGCTCTTTGGGACATTCGTCTCTTTCTGGTCTTGAACTGGCGATCTTGCGCACAAATGGTGGGAACCTGTGATTTCTGGTATTTTAGGCAAATCACAAAGTTATCTGATTTTAGAAATGAGCCATGACAGAAGGATACTGACTGGCATCTAAACTAAATCTAATGCTTTTTTTTTTTTGCATTTTTAAATCCCAGTGATGGTTATCAGACCATAAAATCCAGTTTAAGGAAACTAAATATTGACTCTTTATCGACTGCTCACCAGGAAGTCTTCTTCACAGAAAACCTTCCCTCCAACATAGTAGAAAGCTTTCCCTCTCAGTCTTCGACCTGCAGAACAGAGAGAACAGTCTATTAGCATCATTTCCCTCTTCAAAGTTGTCCACAGCTTTGACTAACAAAAACATCTTATTCCCTCTTACTGAAATATGAACATTAGGCAGTTTAGAACAGGCTTGAAAAGATAACTTAACGACAGAAAGTTGAACTGTCATACTGGAAAGTCTTACATGAGCCACGAGTTTCATCTCAGAAAATAGTTACACCACGACTAAGGCATTAAGAATGTAGTGATTAATTACAGCTATTCAAAAGGTAATGGGCCGTCTTGCAGTATTCATTACGTCCTGCTGAATTCCAAGCAGATTAATCAAATAAAGGGATTCACAGTGTCTTGGTGTCTTAATATAACACTACTGTGGCACAGAGCAGGCTATAATCAGGCAAGGAACACATCTGGATCTAACACGTGCAGATAAAGGGCTCATTAAATCTAATTATTGGACAGGTAAACTGATTAAAGAGTGCCCTGTTGAATTTCATGGACACCATAGGCCAAATCCTCCAATAATGCACTGCTCTTCTTTGTTCCTATCTAATCTCCTTCCACATGCTGGGTATGCTTACTTTTTGTCAAAACACGCGTACCAAGCCCTTGTGTGCTTCACATAGCTACGCCTGCCCAGGTCCCACAGGAAGAAAGAACATTCCTCGGATTTTGGAAGTGGGGAGATGAGGGAGGGGACAGCAGAGGAGAGGGAGGGGTTCACCTTAGTGAACTGCAGTCTTCTTTATCTCTCAGGCTCCATCCCACAATCTGTTTACTCTTTTTTTGTGTAACCAGTCTACTTGTTCCAGGAGACAGATCCACATCCTAACCTATACCAATTAACAAAAACAAACAGCCTTTTCATGATGGAATAAGTACTGGGGCTTTTTTCTCTGCAAATGATTTCTCATTGCTTCATCTTTCAGCTAATTGTTTGACGATTTAAAGTCATAACTGGACTGTTTGGAAGCAATGAGCTGGAATAAAAAGTCAAATGAGATCTAAACCATGAAACCTCATGATTTCTATTTTTCACTGGGTAGCACATTAACTTCTTCAGGAATTTACAAGTTCATGATCCCATTTTAACTGAGTAAAAATGACCATGTATTACCAAAGTGTCACCTAGACTACCTAAAGAAGAGCAAAGTCATTCTGATCAGACCAAGGTGGGGAACTTGCCGTGAGTAATTACTGATAGTCCTGGAACTGTGTCCCTAAAGGAAAAAGGGAAGGATGAAGGGGATGAAAGTGAATTATGGACCATTCCTCTTCTTTACATTCTTCTTTTTTTTTTTTTAAGTGAGTCACAGAGGGAAGGCTTTGCACAAAGATAAGAGCTTAATTAAAGTCAGGAGTCAGCAGTGACGGTTTGAAAAGCAGAAGAAACGACGACTACGGCGCTTTCATAAAAATGTAAAACACCTGAGGGACAGAGCCAAAACACAGGGCCGGGTTCTAATTAAGCAAATCTATGAATTCCCTCATGTGATCCCATTCAGAAAATGAGTAACTCATAATGACCCTGCCATGACTTCCCAATCAAGCCTCAACCTCAACGAATCAGGTCCTCAACTGTGACATGTCAGAGATTGTTCTCACCTTAAAATCATTTCATGTCCTATGAAATCACTGATGTACTTTTAATTTACAAAGAAAATGAGTATTTTTAAGACTTCTTTGAACTTCGGTTGTTTGGTCAAGACCCTGAAAATGTAGCCTCCAGATGTTAACATACCAGCAGACTGAAGGACCAATAGGATCCTGGCTTGTATCCTCCAGAGCCTGCAGACTGACTTGTATTATGGGCTGATATCGAGAAAGCAGAATCTGTTTATCACTGTTCTTTGCTTCACTGCTGCAGTTCTAGGCTATCATAGTAAAATAAATGTAAAAACCAAACCACAATTTCCTTTTTATTTCCATCAAGATTAACTCTACAGATGCAAGTTTTCCTGAGTGTCTCCAAGCATATAAATTTAAGAAGCTGTTTTTAATTTTTTTTCTTCTGAATTACACTTTTTTTTTTTTTTTTTTTTTTTAAACAGTTCCACAGACCATCTGAGAAGTAAAACTTGGGCTTTTTCTCTCTAACTGAAACTGTGTTTTTACCTTTAAATGTCTGTAAACAGTAAATGATGAAACTAGAAGGAAGACCCCTGCAGCGAAGTGCTGAATCTCAGACGTGCAGCCTGAGCGCTCTTGGCCACCAGGAATGTCCGCCTGCCTTTCACAGTCACCTGGGGGTGTGTGTGTGTGTGTGTGTGTGTGTGTGTGTGTGTGTGTGTGTATTGGTAGACTAGAGTGTGAGAATGTGCTGCATGGTCATACCTATCAGTGCAACTCAACACATGTAGCAGTTATGCTGACACACACATTTTGGAGACAGGAGAAAAAATTTAAAAAAAAAAGGGGCAATGCTTAATACATGAG